TACCACTTTTCCCCGCAAACTACAATTTGGTATGAATCAGCGTTCGTTATGTCTACATAACCAAAGTCGTTCGTACCTTCTCCTTTTGATCGGAGGTGAAGACGGCGATTTGCTTCTCAGTGACGTTTGACCACGTCCTAAATTGCTCTTTCCACTGCATCACGGACACACTGGGGGTGATATGAGCATCAGATTTATTTTTCACAAAGAAAAGTCGACGTACGACGAAGTGCAAAGCACCAAACACGACTTCTTGATCGTACATGCAGCAGTGATTCCGACAAGCGTTTTACCAGCACCACAGGGTAGAACGATAATCCCGGAACGCGCACGTCTAAAATATCGACTTCAGTCCTAAATTCAAGCATATTAAACAACGGATTCCTCACCCATTTCCGAACATTTTACTCAGACTGATTTCTTGGTAAGGCCGAATAACAGTGGATGGTTTTAAATCGATATCAAGATTTGGATTAATGGTATCATTGCGGAAATCATATTCCTCGAGCATGGGGTATTCAAGTTCGTTGCAGCGTTTCTTGACGTCCTGTTGAAGTTGGTCAGAACGTGAAGAATAGGAGGTAATTGGGGAGCCATACCTCGATCTTTGAGTCGTCGATCTCGAACGCATGTACGTTGTCATCATCTTCGTCAATTTCGTCTGATAGCAAGTATCCAGTACAACTCAACAGCAACCCAGAGCGAACACACCATTATCGACGCCCACGATGGACGTGCCTGTTTGTGTCGGAATGACTCGCGCTTCCCGGATGACCTGATCCTTTAGTAAGAATTGCAGCGCATCGGGGTGGGTCGATTCGATGAAGTATTTGTTGTGCTTCAGGACAAGCTTCACTTTCCCATATGACATCGTTCGTTCGCGGATAAAGCTGGCTATCGTATCCGGCACCGGCACCTGGAATGTCGTTAGATAATTTAGGACACTACTCAACTCCGCCTCACTTTGGAAAGTCGGTTCAATACCTTTGAGTCGATGTCAGATGTACTCTCTAAAAGATGAGCGAGCGAACCTCAAGAATATCCTTAGTCTGTAAGCCGACCGACACAGCGGCGTAAAGCGAGTATGGCGTAAGCTTGTATTCGTGTATGAAGGCAGGTCTATTGCACTTCGTCTAGCGCAGAGATGAACAGAAGCAGATGTCTGCCCACCTGCTGACGGGTTCGCTAATAGCAACGAGGAAGTCCTGTGCCTGTTCTGCGATCGGTGAGAAACCCTCCAGGATGATATGGCCATCGTTAGGGTTGATCCACAGGGGTCGCGACACATGGTCGTTCTTGAGGTGCAGCCAAGAAAAATCGTGGTTCGTGAAAATATGCGACATCAGTCGGTCTTGCTGACGGCGATGAGCTTCGAGCGAGGATAAGTTATTAGTCTGCCTGTCGTTGGAACGTTTGGCAGCATCGCGTTCGTTCGCAAGCGTTCGTTGCAGCGCCGTGAAGTTGATTGTTGCACCCTTCGGGATTAGGGAGGACTCGACAGGCGAGCCTGGAGAATCTGACACCGTAGGGTCTTGCAGCCCGTCGTCCATGTCTATGTAGTCGTCATCATCGCCGTTTGTCCGAGCTCGTTTGGGAGTACTTGGGCCCGCAACTGTAACAACCTCAAGACCAGAACAGCAGAGAACAATTCAAATCAATTCACGCACCAGCTGAAGGCCGTTTCGTCGCCATCTAGACTTCTGAAGTCTACCTGCAGTGATGATGGCGAGGAGACAAGACTGAGCGAACGAAGACCAGACATCGAGCAAAGGATGACTGACTGATAGCCTCGCCGCGCCACAGCGACTTTGCCCAACTTCGGAGCTTGAAAACGATGAATGAGCAAGCGAAAAACTCAACTCAACGCTTCCCGGAGCAAAGCTCAGTGGAATGACGCAGGATCTCGTGTACAAAAGCATTACTATCTATATTAAAGAGCGTGAGCTATTCAGTGTTGGCGAAAGCACCATGGCAATCTTGGCTAAGATTCGACGTTCCTGCGAAGAGTCCTATCACAAACTCCATCCGAAAGAGAGATTGAAAAGGATTGAGAACGGACCTCGACAAAAAAGGCCAAGAATTTTGCTGGCTGCGCATTCATGAAGCAAACTTCGTTGGTAAGCGATGGACTCGCATTCCAGGCTATGTTGAGAGAACAGTAAGTAAACACTGCGATAATGTGATCGAATCAATATTCTCTTCGAGTGCAAAGCACACGGTCAAAAACAAGTCTAGAAACTCACCAAAGCCCTGTGGAATTGAACGACAGCATTTCTGGACCAGCCTTATTACAGTCGTAGCACCGAAATTCATAGATAATCCAAATGTTGTCGCACGGCGCCCTCTTCGTACGAACATGGTCGAACAACAAGCTGATTCTCGCTGCGACTTCGCCAAACTTCGGAGCTTTTAAACAATCGGCTGTTCCCGAGATTCGGCACCGTCACGGTGCTCGCGTGGCCCGTGCGAATTGGCTACGTACGTCAAAGGCGAAGAACTCGCCTTTGTTTTGCTTTCGAAACAGCATTCGAGTAAGCTGAAATCAACGCAGCTTAGAAGCGTTCGAAGGTCACTCACATTTACATCTTCAAAAAAGTCTGCAGGAATTGCTTCCCTACCTCGCAAAATCGACGCGAACTCGCCACGAACTGGAAGTCCCACCTCGCCCTTGACTCAAAGAACGAACAACGATGCCGACCGACAGAGAACAACTCCTCGACATGGGCTTCGAAGAGGCCCGCGTGGACTGTACGTCTATGCCTTACAATCGTACTCTCACAAATCTACTCACTGTTTTCTCCCAGGGGCGCTCCGAGCGACAAAGAACAGTGGCCTCCAAAGCGCCATGGACCACCTCATCGGGCACGGTGACGATCCCATTCCCGATCCGTCTGCTCAAAGCGCATCTAGCGGTATTGGAGGAGGAGGAGGAGGAGGCGCGGGCGACCCGATGGATGAAGACGACGAGGACGCGGAGGCGTTGAGGGCTGCGTTGGGAAAGCAAGGCGGGTTGGCGGCAGCAGCTGCCGCTGCGAGTGCTGCTGCTGAGGGTGCGGATGCGAAGGTGAGCCTATCGACTATGACTTTAAAATTGAAATGATTAGACTGAGGCATGCTACAGAGCATAAAATGCTCGCAATGCGATAAGATATTCAAAAACACCGCGCTCGCGAACTTCCACGCGGAGAAGAGCGGTCACGACCAGTTCGAAGAGTCCACTGAAGAGGTGCGTCTAGATCTATTCTCCTATACCTACGTCTCACCAGCTCTCGATGAATGTAACGTACACGACGCAACACAAAGATCAAACCCCTAACCGAAGAAGAAAAGAAGGCCAAACTCGAGGAGCTGCGTACCAAACTCGCGGAGAAACGCGCAGGGAAGGCGAAGGTTGAAGCGGAGGAGCACAAGGCGAATGAGGCGATCCGAAGGAAGGGTGGGAAGGACATCGGCGTCTTACGAGAGGAGATGAAGGTGAAGGAGTCCATCAAGGCGGCGGAGCAGGCGAGGAAAGGTACGTTGTCATTCTGCCACCACCATAACAAACCAATCTAATCTAATCCGCAGATAAGCTCGATGACGCGAAAGCAAAAGCTGCGATCAAGGCGCAGATCGAGGCAGACAAACGCGAACGGGCGGAGAAGATTGCTCGCGAGAAGGCATTACGGGAGGGCAAGGCGCCTCCCCCTACGGCCGCTTCTACCTCGACTACAACGACAGCGACGACATCTTCAAGCGCTGGTGGGGAAGGGACTCAGCGAGAACACAAGGACGCGCGCTTGCAAATACGGCTTTCAGGCGGCGGTCAGCCGATCGTGGTGACGTTACCCAGCGAGTCGAGTACGTCTTTCTCTCTGCGATGTTTACTTCTGCGCAGATGTTGACGAGACCGCCTTCGCCCGGTCACTTTTATGAATTCACATGAACTCCGACATTAACTGGCATTGTACTTCACCCCTTCTCTCCTTCCTCTCCTTCGCCCCCTTGTCAACGACTCCTCCGGCACATGCTGAATGCCCCACAAATAGCACTACAAGACGTTGCAGAACACGTTGTCAGCCAGTCGCCTGCCGTTGACCCGAGTGTCGTTACCTTCACACGTCAGTTCCCGCGGTAAGTACACCATGCCTCGTAGTTGTACTCAGGATGCTCGAGTCACTCATACACTGATATGTTGTAGGAAATTGTTTGCGCGTTCGGAGTTCTCGCAGTCGCTGAAGGATCTGGGATTGGTACCTTCTGCGGTAAGAGTCTCGCCCTTTATCAAAATATCGGACTCGTGAATGCTCGGTTTGTTAGGTGTTAATTGCTTCATAAAAAGCAAGCCGCATCTTTGCCTACCCTTGGCAAGTGACGTACGTATAACGACTTTGTATTGAAAACGTGAGACAGGTAGTACAAGGTATGAATGGTTGAAGCACTTTTGTTCCTTGAAGACGACTGACATGGAGATGTATACAGTGTATATTAGTGCAATGAATCCACAACAAGCAAATCACAAGAAATCATTTGAAGCAAGCGCGTCGAGGAGCAAAGGATCTTTGCGTGATTTCATACGATCCAGATCCTCACAAGCAAACTGTCATAGATGTCTTATTTCTGAAGTTGTAGGGCCCAAGAACAAGCAGGTGCGTAGACTGTATAATCTCTGCATCATTTGCTGAGCACGCTCAGGATGAACCCTGTCCTCATGTCATAGGAGACGAATTTTGATTGACCGACAGTTACGGGGGTACATGGACGGTGGGTTCTCTTGCACGAACTGAAGTTACCATCCAGTCTTGGATTTCCATTTCGACTGAGGATGATCGGCAATTCTCATCTCATCTATGAGCGCAACGATTATCGGTCCATCGTCAGTCTCGCGGGCGGGCGACTGGAATTTGTTTTTGCGATAATTGTAGCTGACACGTTGACGGGGGAGTCGAAGGAATAAAATTGAAATAAGATATAGTAACTACCTTACAGATCGTATATGCGCAAATAAAGAGGATTTATGTGCCCGCCTAGCTCAATCGGATAGAGCGTCAGACTCTTACGGTTCTGAAATCAGGCGATCTGAAGGCTGCGAGTTCGACCCTCGCGGTGGGCTAATCGATCTTTTTGGCTCTTTGGATGAGCGATTCTCCGTGTTTTCTCTCTCTCATTTTTCATTTGGAAACGAACTGAGCTTTGCAGTCCCATTTGGATGTTTCCCTTACTTTTTGGACGATACGTCGGTTCCTGAAAATGAAGTCGTCGGACCCGACTTGTAATATCCCACTGACCGAAGGACTTGCGAAGTTGCGATCATCCATCGACCTCGTTGCTACGTGACTTGGCTGGGCTGGGGAAAATATCTTGCGGTGAGCTGGTGAGAAATCTTGTGGTAAATTTATTGACAGCTTGTTCTTGAACGCGAGATGCAGGGAAATTGATTCGGAAGTGTTTGTTTGTTTGTGTACGTCGACTTTGAGGGCAGACAAAAGAGATCTCGAGAGAACAAGGATCCCCACCACGTGGACTTTCCTAATGCGGTCGTCGAGCAATGTTGTGGATGTTTGTGTGTGGCAGGGAGAGAATAGAATAGGACGACGACGATGACTATAAAGTATGCCGCTGGTTGCCAAAGTATGGTGCGTTGCAGGCGAAGGGAAGGGGCTATTGTACCCCTCTCCTCTCTTTTGTTCCTCTTTCCTGCGGGGACCTCTCTTATATTGGGGGGTTGCGACGGCGGAGGGGGAGGTTCAGCCAGCTAGCCAGCTAGTCCTCGCCGCCGCTCAACGTCGTCTACACACCGTCTCGTCTCACTTACATCTCATCTCGTCTCGAGTTAATACCTCATCTATCTAATCCACCCACCTCGACATACAATACATCGAGCAGCGCCAATCTCAATCTTGAATTCCAAATCAAATTCAAGAGGCTCACACCGACCACGACCCGCTTGCAATCTGTGCAATCTGACCATACTCCGTGCGTGTTGTACTCTTGTTCTCTTGTTCTCGCCCTTACATCGTGTGCCTACCTTTGCGTCGTCGTGTGCCAGGTTCAAAGATCCCCTTAACGTCTACTAAATGTCCTTCGCCTTCCTCGCGCACCCCCCTTCGCCTTCGCAGCTCAACAGCAACAACAACAATACGAATTTGAAGCCCAGCAAACTCAGCAACGTCAGGTCATCCATACTCCCTAAACCAAAGGGCGCACAGCAAGCCGTTCCCAGTGGTGATTACTTCACCCTCGCTCAGACGACCCCGCGCAGGCCATCCGTCCGTCGACGCTCTGCCACCGTCTCCGGGACGGTGTGCAGCATCTCTGCCTGGGCGTCCACCATCGTCCCCGGCTCCCCCGCCCCCTGCACCCCTCGCACCCCCAGAACACCGCGCACGCCCCCGCTCTCCGCCCTCGCCGAACGCCTGCGTTCCGCCAGCGCCAGTGCGAGCTCCCCGCACGTCGTCCAGCACAAACGCCGGCGGTCCTCCGTCTCCAACAACGCGCTCGACTTCCTCAACCTCCTCGACACCCCGTCCACCGCGGCGTACATCAGCATCTGCACGCCCTCGCCGTCGCACCTCGAGAACAAGCCCACCGCGCCGTCTGTCGGGTTTGACCTCCAGGCGCAGGGTTACACCACAGTTTTCGTGCGCTTGCCAGGGACGCCTGTCACACCACACACTGCGCCGCTCCAAGACAGCTCTAGTAGGGTTATCCCGAATCCGTCTTTGAGCGAACAGATCGCCAACGGCAAGGTACCTTCTGTGCATCCCGTCCCGAAGACGCCGACCACGTCCTCTAAAAAGGCGTTCACCCGGTTACGGTCCCTCTCCTTCAAAACCACGAAGAAAGGCAGCATGTTCTTGTCGCAACACCACTCCTCATCGTCCTCGTCCAAGCACGCTATGGCGACTTCCTCTTCCTCTTCCTCGTCCAAACCCAAGCAGAGAAGAAAGTCCTCCGCAGCCTCCTCGACGCCCCACGCGCGTTACGGACATCTGCTCGCACCAGCAGGCGGGGCAGGTGCGCTCCCTCTCGCGCAGGAGGTGCAGCTCAGCCAGATGCTCGACGGTGGTTCCGTCGACGCCAACGTCAAGCGCGTCGCGAAGAGGCACGCGAAGGACACGGGTGCTGCTGTCTCCTCCAAGAAGTCGAAATCGAGGGAAGATGCACCGGGCGATGGCGTGTCTGGTGTGTATAGAGACGGGCGTGGAGGGATGTTCTGGGACGAGGACGAGGCGTTCGAGCTTGCGGGGCTGCTGAAGCGGGCGCCTAGTTCTCCGTCGCCGTTAGCGCCCGCCCCCGAGCAGAAGCGTGCATTGGGATTGGGACTGCTCCGTTCTAAGCAACCACAGCAGCAGCAAACGACGACGACGATTCCGGCAGACTGGGTCGACCCCACCCGGCGCGGCTCAGAGTCCGCGGCGTCCGACGCTGAGACGACTCGCTCCTCCTCCATCGCCTCCGAGCTCGGCTTCGTCGTGCGCCCTCTTTCGGGTACGGGTGCCGGCGTCGTAGCAGCGAGCGCGTTCGTACCCGGCTATCGCATCGGCATGGGTCCTTCTACAACGCTCCCTTCGCTGCACCCCGGCGACGCTTTCAACGTCCCGCCGAACAGCAAGCCGGACGAACCGCCGATGGGTCCACCGAAGTTGACGTCGGCGGCGAGGGAGCGTCCCCGTGCGCGTCACAGGCCAGCGCCACTCACACTTACTGCTGCACTCCCCGCCCCCTCTGCCCCTCCTCCTCAGGTGAAGAGCGCGCCCGCCAGGAGGAAGCGTATGCCAATCGCCCCTCTGCCTCTGCCAAACGCCGTCGCAGACCCGCGCGCACGCGAGGTCGAGGAGGGCCGGAAGGATTTCTTCGCGTCCTCGTTCAGCCCGCCTCTCCCTGCTCCTGCGACTGAGCAGCGTCCTTCGCGTCCAGCTCCGACCCCCCTCTCCTCCACTTCGCAACCCAGTGCAACAGGGACCTCGAAGAGCGGCCGACGCCTCTCCTTCAACATGGGACTCGGCACGATGATCTCCTCGACCGCACGCACCGTGCGCCGCGCGAGCGCAAGCCTCGGTGCGCCCTCGCCTGGTCCATTGACGGCTGTGACGGGCAAGTTCAACAACGGATCTTCTGTGCATGTCAACGCGCGCGCTGCTGAGAGCGCGACACATTTGCATGCGTTAGCGTATGGGCAGAACGAAAGGGGTAAAGAGAGCAGGGACGGGAGCACGAAGTCGCGCGCGAGCTCGAGCTCGTCAAAGACACTCGCACCCGCCCCGCCTCCTCTTCTGCGAACTAAAGTATCAAAGTTGAAGCTGTCGTCCCTTTTCCACCGAGGTGACAAGTCATCGAAGGCCTGAACGTCTAGCGCTTATCTATTGTGCTGTCGCATTTATCTATCTGTCTCTGCGTCTCTGGCCCGGGTGCCTGCTGTTTTCTCTCAACCTTGCATATCTGTTCATGCTATCACGTTACGCTCATCCTGATATCCTTGCTCTCTCTCGCAATTGTATCTATACCTACAACATCAAACCGTATTGACTCCCACAACTTCTGCGACGCCTTTTTCTCTTCTTCAAGTACTTGCTTGTACCAACATCTGTATCTCTTCTTCTTCACGACATTGTTCATTTTTTTCACTCAAGATGCTCTACGTCTAATTACTTGTATTCACGGATCTCTCCTCATTCACGTTCATCGACTCTTCATGTTTCTTTTACGTTCACGTCTTCAAGTTATTCACGGCCTTCAAAATTGTTTAGAAATAAATAACACACCTGCATTGATCATCTGAAACTGCACTTCTGTGCGTGAAAGAGCTTAGGGCACTGGTAGGGGAGTTGAAAGGGTGAAATAAGGACGTAAAAAGAGATGCGCCCTTGTTCGCGTTGGAGGAGGCATTCAAAGTCACAAAGGACGGCACGGATGTGACACGTGTCGCGAAACCCATAGGCGCTCGATGTGGTTCGGCGCCTTTTCCTTCTCTTCTCTTCCGCGTCTCTCTCTTTCTTTCTGCAACTTCCTTCCCTTCGTCCATCGTTGATCACTGACGTCATCGAGTCGTCTAACCCTCAAGCACCAGTTCTGAAGGACTCCAAGTAGGAGTCGAGCGGGGTAGAACCTAAGAACGAGGACACAAGAGGTTGAGGTTGACTATTGCTCTGAGGTTGAGGAACAGGCTATGGTGATGGTGTAACGGGTGTTGGTTGCACAACTTGATGAGTACTCTCCTTGTTGACAGCATACACTTCCGAGAGTCCGAGTCTCTCGCGCATCATCCACGTCCTCCATCTGAATATTGCATTGCGAAATCGTCTAGTGCCCACCGAAAGGTCCGAAACTGGCAAACTGCAAAGCTACGCTCACGCCGGGTGATCTGACTTCCGACTCGTCACTCGAACCCGTATCGATATCGTCTCTGTGGCGGCACAAGAACTAGCGACGTGACGGGAAAGCAATCTTACCCACTTCTCTTGCGTTCTGGACGCTCGGCTCTTACACATAGAAGAGAACAAAGCCTCGACGTCCTTTCCATGCAAAGAATGGCGCAGAACCTCGACTCGGACGCTGGTTACACGACGTCTCGAAAGGCTCTGGATTTGTACTCGTTCGATTCGTCATTAAAGTCATGGGCGAAGCTCGATCTACCCTCCAGTACTGGGACACCAACGCCGCCCTCGGAAATACGCATCATAACATGGAACATCGATTACATGGCCAAAGATGCGGATCGTAGATTGCTATGCATCCTCGACCATCTGCAAAACTATCTCTCCCAGGAACCATCTGACTCGAACAGTACGTCCCTCCCATCCATCGTCCTCCTCCAAGAAGTCCACACCGCCGCCCTCCCCGCCCTCCTCTCCCACCCCTGGGTCCGAGCCACCTTCAACCTCACACCGACCTCGCGCTCAGACTGGCACCCCTACTCCTCGTACGGAAACGTGGCGCTCATCCATAAGAGCATCCCGGTGACGCGGGTGTTCAAGATCGTGTTTGAAGAGTCGATGATGGGACGGTTTGCGTTGCTTGTGGATGTCGAACTTGGGGTTGGTGTTGTAGACCCCGGTGAAGGCGAGGGCTCCAGTGATGATATCGGCATCGAGGAAGAACCCCATGATGAAT